GGCGGAGCCATGACTGGGTCAATGCCTTGCTTCTCCGATTTTGCAGACGGGAGGTTGACGTTGCCGATGGTCAGGAAGGTGACGCAGAAGCAGGGTGTGATTCAGCATGATGCCACGTGTGCTGAGAAACAAACAAACAAAAATATATGTGCAAAGATATGGACACCCGTGTGACTGAGACTTGTGAGACATTTAACGACAAATTAGCGAATAAAATTAGCCTAGCTTAGCTAGCGCTTCAGGTTTGCAGCATGAGGTCCCGTTATTTGCCCAAATGGATGAGTAAAACATGGGTGTCCCCGCAGCCTTCCTCGTCCCACGTGCAGAAGCGTTATTTACATTCTAGGAGACGAGGCCATGTTAGCGCTGGGGTATGAGCTGATCTCCCCCGAATGAGAAGCTTCGCAGGCAACACAGAGGAAATGGCGTCATGGTTCACCCGAAAACACTCTGCCGGTTACGTCAGCCCCCGTATCCGCGCCAGACCCGCCTTGGAGGGGTCGCTCCTGGAGTTCGGGCCCACGTTATGCTGGCTTCCTTCCAGCAGATCTGCATCCGCATCTGCCGGGCCCCCGGCGAGCGGAACGGGGGCCCGTGTGGTGAGGGTCCCCCTGCTGGGTTTACAGCAGGGTTAAATGAGAAGAGGGAGAGTAAGAGAGCTGGCAGTGCTGGGCTCGGCTCCACCCTAACCCTGCCATCAGCGGGCCGCTCCATCTGTCTGATCCACCCTCGGGGGGTGCTGGCTGACGGTGCTGTGTTCAGCGCCAAAGTTGTGGTGTGCGCCGGCCCTTTAAGACTCTGCACTAACGGTGCAAGCTCATCCCTCACCTTCTACACAGAGGAAACACACGAATCTCACACTATATAATCATGACACTATAATATATGTGAGGTGTCGTAGGGCTGATGCCCTGTTAGCATATCACAGGAACAGGGACGGTATGAATAGGCTTTTTAACAGGCCTTGAGCTTCAGAGCTAGGCGAGATCTTTACTTGCTCTCAAAACAGAACATAGATACAAAGAATTCCTGCAATTTTCCCCCCCCATTTTTATCAGTAATCTAATCATTGCTCAGCGCTGATCACGTTTACCTTTTCATTTATATCATATGTCATTGTCACGATTATCATTGTAAAGTGCTAATGTGATTTAGAGATTTAGCCATTGTAGCCGATTTAGCTAACCGTCTCGGTGTGTCGCCGTTATGCTTGCTGTTACATTTTTTCGATAATGGTGGCCCTGTTAAATCATGCATTCGCAACATTGGATCATGTCTGCCTTGGACATGATACTTATCTCCTCTTTCCCCATCTGTCTCACCTTTGAAGTTCCCAACATGTCCCAGCTTCCAGCAGGAATGTCCCCCCCTTTGTTCTACTGGTCGGTGGCTCTCGCTGCCTTGCCATGATTGGTCCGCGACCATGTCACCTGATCCTATTGTCTTTGTGGGGATGTTACTCATGTTATAGAATGACTCAGATTTGATATTTGGCTTTAAGTGGTTGAATCAGAAGTCCTGCTTATTTCCATAGTTTTCATAAAATGTGTGAAAGAACAGGTCCACTGGCTCTCCTCCTGGTCTGGTCTATTACTAAGTAAAGTGGTCTATAAAAGGATCGTGTAGCTCATCAGTCTGGAGGAAGTCCTGACATCGATCCGCCATCGTCGATAAGCAGGACGGCTCAGGGTGCCTCTTGTGAGGAGCTCAGGCAGACGACCACGTTCCCACTGTACTCGTCCCTGTGCCTGAACATCCGTCCAAGAGATGCTATCAAGGAGCGCTCACTCCACTTTTTCCTCCCAGACCCTGAATCGACGATGTCATAGGTTTGTGGGCGGGTCAGACGCCATGTCTGTCACAAACCCCGCCCCTCGCTGAGTCACCAGCGGGGTCACTTATGTCTGTAACTCGATGCATTCTCCAGTTTGCCCGACCACATTATCATCGATATTTTTACCGCCCTGCTTATTGGATTTTATCGACCAATGTAACGAGAACAGAGGACACACAGATTCAGCTCCTGCACACTCCGCCACAGCCTGACAGATTAATATTCGTAATAATCATACATAACCTAAATGTAAATGCACATTCTGAATATGGCAGTGGCATAATTTTAGCGGCTCCAGAGAGAGACAGTCAGCGTAGCTTCCAGCTACAGGATGTGTCACCGTCCTTTTGCCAGTGTCCCCTCCCACTCACCCACGCAGAAACACAAACACACACACATATACACACACCCCCCCCCCCCCCCCCCCCCCCCCCCCCCCCCCCCCCATGTGACCTTCCCTCCTTCCCACTGGAGTCCTGAGCACTAATGCCCGTAGGGGAAGGGGTCATTCTCCGCCTCCCCCGGATCAGAACCAACACGCAGCACACAGAGCCGTGAGTCACACACTGTGCACGCGCAAGCAGGTCCTCGTTAAGGATGGCGGAGCGAGGCGGCGATGTCACGGCGCTCCGAGACGAGCCCGGCCACCTTCAGGAAAACTCATATCTCTGTAACCACCCACCCCCCCCCTCCCCATTTTCACGCCCACGTTCCCCGGGCTAAAATTAATTCTCTGGGTCTAGGCACGATGACTGTACTCTTCTCACCCAAAAGTGAAATTTCAGTAGGGGCCACGATTTTGCCCATGTATCTGCACAAAGCCTGATGCGCGCGCAGCCGTTCTGGGATATTTGGAAGCCGGGTATCTTATCTTATCAAGGAGCGACAAGGATTAGCGGTTAGATCTCTGGTGGCAGTTTGGTCCTGATATCCTCGCACGTCTGACGGCACATCCACGGGATCCTGTGCGATGCCTTTCACCGAATCTGTACCCTACAGCTCAGAGTCACATTGGGGACTGCTGCAGGAAACTGACACGTAACACTCTGCCGTCATCCTGGGAGTCTTATTTCCCCCCCCACCCCCCACCCCCAGCTTTTTGTCAGATGACAGGGAGAAAAAAAACACCTGCTCTTTGGGTAATGGGGGGGTGGTCGACTGATCTAACTGCCAGGCCACTATCCCTAGTCCAGATTGTATTTTGCTCTATGTCTCCCACACAGGTGAGCTGGAGGGGGGGAGGTGAGGGGGCGGAGGTGACAGCCTGGATGACTAAAGGGACATCCTGTTGTCTGTAAATCAACAGGGGAGGGCAGCTTCAGTCCCTATGTGATGAACCCCTGTAACTTCCGGCTTGGGGACAGAGTGTCTCGCGTGTCAAGAGGTGTCAGGGACATCGTTTGTCCGTTACCGTCAACGCAATTCCTGCACGTACTTTCGTCTTTTTTTTTATATGTCACCACGCAATGGCTTCACTTTCATTTACATCTCTGCTCATAGCTTCTTGTTTCTATATAAACCGCCCCGGTGAGCACCTGTAGGCAGAGAGAGAGTCAGCTGTGGTCTCGCTGAGGCTTCGGGGGAAGACCGAGGCGTCAACGGCAGGCCGGAAACAGGGAGGGGTGGGGGCGGGGGCGGGGGGAAAGCCACAGATGTCGCCGCCCGAGTGGCAGCCGGCTGGGGCTACGGAGATGAATCAGAAGTGGACCGCGGTCGATTGGTGTAGAGTGGTGCTAACCTCCGGATTAGCGGGGCTGTTACAGACCCCAGGCGCTCCACGGCCAGAGCTATAAAGCTATAAAGGAGGCAGGGTGTAACAGCAGCCACCATTATTTCATGAGGGTGTGGACTTTATTAAGCACGCTAAATATAGAAGCGTAGGTGTAAATACACAGAGGGTCTCCTCAAAGTCTTTGGACAGTCACTTGTTACTATAGCTTCATATAAGACCACATACCTGAGCCCAATGACATCAACGGGGCCTCCATTATGCACAGCCCCTCCCACCTGGGCCCAGGACAATCTCCTCAGTGGACCCCCCCAGGATAGTGGGCCTGCCTGATCAACCTCCCAGCTTCAACCAATTCCCAAGACACGATACAGACGCTCCCCAGTTTATGATGGTTCGTGTAATGATATTTTGACTTTACGATGGGTAAAATTTTCCGCTTTCAGTACATTATTCAATAAACTACATGAAGTATTCAGCTTTAAAAAAAAATAATAATAAAATAGGCTTTGTGTTAATGATTTTGCCCAACTGTAGGCTAATGTAAGTGTTCTAAGCATGTTTAAGGTAGGCTAGCACTGTATTAAAATGCATTTTCGCCTTGCGATTGGTTTGTCAGAACGTAACCCCGACGCAACTCAGGGCGAGTCTGTGCCTGCTTCACTCTTTCCTGAACCGGAGTCCTCTCCTGTCTCCAAATCCAGTCCCTGTTCCTTCCTTCTACCCCTGTGTGCTGTTAGCTGTTCGCTTTCCCCGCTAGAACACACTTAAGGAGTCACTCTTTCACATTTAAAAACATCTCCGGCCTTAGGGCGCACGTGGTAACGGACCGTTCTGCCAGCGCCGGCAGCTGAAAACAGAGGTGCGCTGCATTTCGTGCTTTGGACTTGTCAAAATATCTCGCCTCTAACTGCCAAAGTCTCACTGCTTGATTTCAGTATGATTGCCTGATGTTGCTAGAAGGGCTGTATGGGAAAAATGCGATTATTTGTTTTTCACAACCTCTAACTTTAATATAGAGGTCAGACCTTAAGTAGTATTGTGGTACAGTGTCACACCTACACCTCCCCCTAAAATTACATGTGGCGTTTAGACAATGATGTAAAATTAGAGGGAGGACCTATATAAATAGACAAAGCATATAGCACCCCAAGTGACTGCCTTTGTTGTGGCTCAGCGTTTCCGCTAAAGGAAGTAAGCTCGGTGGTCTGGTGGCCTGTGTTCAGCCAGTGCTGCATCTTGTGGTTATTTGTGTGAAATAAAATTAATCACATTTCACGTTACTGTACTGCTGAGCTGGACCCGGCTGCCGTCTTCCACCAGACATTTCTGGAAAGTCCCGAAAACTGGCAAGCCCGCCCACATCAACTTATGTTGCGTGGGACTGGGTTGAACGCTCTGATTCCATCTAGAAGGTTTTGTCGGGTTTAGCCTCTATGTAACATATGTCATTTCTTAAAAATAAACCGCATATATAATAAACCTACGTTGACAGTGCTATATTAAACTTACTGAGGCACTGGAGAAGAAAAACGGCTATCAGTGTTTCACTTGGATTGCATTGCTTTGTATAAAATTCGTGCAATCGACTTTTAATGCTAACATTGTGGTAGTCCCAATTATGTTATGGGGGGGTTATAGCTGATTGGTCCCTACCGATGTTGATATTATAAATAGGGTAAGAATGACATGTAGGGTAATGGGATGGTAGCTAAAGGTAGCTGTGCTCACTCAATGAAGGCTATTTACAATTGATAACTGCTCCTGTCATAATGACGGTAATGAAGAGGACATGGTCACCCCTGCATGAGACTTCGGGGGCTGCTTGATTGTGTGGACTGAGTGACTACATTTCTCCAGATGATCAGTTCCAGCTCGGTGAGTGACATCATCTCAGTGGTGATGTCAGGCAGGAGCGGGGGAATGGAGCTCTTAGCTAAACACCATCCCACACCGTTGACGGTCACCTTGGAATGTGTGACCGCTCGCTGCCTTCTCTAAGGCTGAGGGTGAATCGGGACGCAGAGAGCGGGAAATGGGGAACTGGATGTGCCCATAATGTAGCCAATTACCTGCGAGGCACCGGGCACCATAGCAGTCCAGGAAGTGAGGTCATAACCTGAAGATTGTAGGGTCCAGGCTCAGGTGGATTTCCTGCCACAGCATCCCAAGCCCGAACCGGGGCTGCTTCACTCAAGTTTCCATCTAAATAGGTGAGCGACCATCCCATCGTGTAGATATACATGCTAAGCAAATTTATGCTAAATTCTTGGGCCACATGCTGAAGACTTAAACATTCCACATGTGATTGTGTGTCATTAAGCATTTCTGCATAAGTTGACTACTTGTGGATAAGTGGAATGTCTGACCTTTTATTTTAAGGTGCGTAATCAGTGGTGATGGACAGCCAAAGTATTGTTTGCTTGCCGATGCCATTGTTTGAGAAGGAGTCTTGTGGAAGGTTCTGTTGTCTTTCGGGATGCCTTGTTATGGGTGTTTTGCCGCGGGGCCCTGGGAACACTCTCTCGTTGGCGCTCAGCCCCAAGGTGAGTGCATCGTGGGGCTGCCGGTTACCAGTTTTCAGTCCGCCGTCCAGTCGTTATGACAACAGATTGATTTTCACAGCCCAAGTTTCCTGTTGGCAGTGACCGAGCAACGGCAAGAGCCAAAGAAGGTCATCAAATTGGCTTAGTAAGTGTAACTCGAATCAGTGTTGCTTATTGTCACTGTGAGAACAATAGAGGTAGTGAACGTATCCTCACTTCCTTACTGTGAGAATGAATGAAACCGCGTGGTAATTTCCAGTCACGGCCTCTTATCTCACAGTTATCTCGCCTATTAAAAATAAGAACCGATACCCTGCTGGATTACGTCTTTACCATCAACAAACCGCCGTTTGAGCTCATCCAGTGTAATACGGTTTTGATAAATGCTTCTTCCAGACAAGCAGGCAAGTTAAGAGATGCAAAGTCAGCTGAAGCACATGGGGACCAATAATCAGAGCCACTGGTGACATCAGTGCCACAGGACGTGTACAAAACGGCTGAGCAAAATCAGGGACTTCGAGGTGCTGGATCGCTGCCCCTGTAGCCCGACGTCTGATGGCATTTGAGGAAAGCTGAGGCAGGCTTGGGTCCCGTCCTGCAGTGCCGGCGATGATGGTAGGCCGCAGCCTGGCGGAGTGAATTAGACAAGAATTATAAATGTAGGCATGGGAGCAGGAGTGAGTCAGGGCCCAGGGGTATGTGATCAAAAAGCACGAAAGGGTACAAGAGTTTACAGATCTGTAAAGAGCTTAAAGCTGCAGAGATTTTAGGAACTGTGGCAGCTTGGATCAAAAACTGGCTAACTGACAGGAAGCAGCGAGTAGTTATTAGAGGCACAATGTCACAGTGGGCCTCCGTTCATAGTGGGGTACCGCAGGGTTCAATTTTAGGACCACTATTGTTCCTAATTTACATTAATGATATTGACACAAATACATACAGTAAACTGGTTAAATTTGCAGACGACACCAAGGTGGGCGGTGTAGCAGATACTGATCTAGCAGCAGAGAGGCTTCAACGGGATCTGGATTTAATTAGCGAATGGGCTGATACTTGGCAGATGAAATTTAACACAGATAAATGTAAGGTAATCCATGCAGGGAGCAGAAATATAAAGTACAGATATTTTATGGGTTCCACTGAAATAAAGGTAGCTGATTACGAGAAAGATCTCGGTATGTATGTTGATGCTTCCATGTTCCACTCTTGCCAGTGTGGGGAAGCAATAAAAAAGGCGAACAGAATGTTGGGTTATATCTCTAGGTGTGTGGAGTTTAAGTCAAGGGAGGTGATGTTACACTTATATAATTCCTTGGTAAGACCCCACCTAGAATACTGTGTGCAGGTTTGGTCACCATACCTCAAGAAGGACATTGCTGCCTTAGAAAAGGTGCAACGAAGAGCTACGAGAATGATTCCTGTTCTTAGAGGAATGTCTTATGAGGAGAGGTTAGCGGAACTGAATCTGTTGAGCCTTGAGCAAAGGAGACTAAGGGGGGATATGATTCAGGTCTATAAGATTCTAACGGGTCTGGATGCTGTTCAGCCAAATGACTATTTCAATATTAGTCTAAATACTAGAACTCGTGGCCATAAGTGGAAATTAGCGGGAGAACATTTTAAAACAAATTCGAGGAAGCACTTCTTTACACAGCGTGTAGTTAGAGTATGGAATAGACTTCCTGCTAGTGTAGTGGAAGCTAAAACCATGGGTTCCTTTAAATCAGAGCTAGATAAGATTTTAACAACTCTGAGCTATTAGTTAAGTTCTCCCCAAACGAGCTTGATGGGCCGAATGGCCTCCTCTCGTTTGTAAATTTCTTATGTTCTTATGTGTGTGTGTGTGTGTGTGTGTTATTTTTACTTGCAAGGGTTCATCAGAAATGATAGCTGCAAGTCGTCAGAAACTATCTTAACACATTCTTCTCCTGTCATAACTCATGGGGCCCTCATTTTACCGCGGTAATCATAATTAAAGGTACCACATTCGCAGTCAGGCCTGAACATGTGGCTTCTCGGGAAACGTTCTCGCCCGTTTCCCTACATCTGCATGCTGGCTGATGGTAACCCAGAACCGAGTGATCTTTGTCTTGTTGGGAAATGCCAGGCCTATTTTAGCATAGCTATGTGCAGACGTTCATAGCACCAGGAAGCACCTGTTAAGCAGAGAGGGAACCGCTATTGTCTCCCTACTGCGTTGAGACCTTTCTGTGGAATTCACATGTTAATCAGGAAATTGCTCATCACGGCACAGGCTGTGAGGGTGAATCACAAAAGAATCGCAACTGTGCCGTACCTGGACTAAAGTATAGGGAGATGTTGCTTAGTTATTAGCTACAGATGAACTAAACGGATACCCTGTGAGAAAAGTAGGCCCAGGTAACATTGTAATTGCACATGACGCATGTCAGGCAACTACTGATAGACATAGAGAAGCTGGTCATGAAATGGAAACAATGTGGGGGGAGGAAATGCCCTTGTGTATTCACACATACCGGCTTGTACTCAACCCTCTTATCAAAGCTGACAGAGGTCAAGGTGACTTATTACTTGTGAGGAATTATACACTTCACACTGATGCCGAACTCTGTACAGAGCACTAATTGTGACTAATTTTGTTTTACTTGAGTTACCACAGTATTTGTGTGGGGGCAGTGGTATCTTGTGCTAGGGAAGCACACTTGTAATTGAAAGATTGCTGGTTCGAATCCCTGACCAGCAAGGTACCACTGAGGTACCCTGAGCAAGGTACCGCCCCCAAGCATTGCTCCCCTGGCGCTGAATTAGCTGCTCCCTGCTATGTCACATATGGGTTAAATGCAGAGAACACACTTTGTTGTGCACTGTGTGCTGTGTCAGCATTGATCACCTAATTCTACGTAATCTTCTTGCTTGATTTGCAGTGTTATTTATTGAATATCTAATTGTTTTGATAGTAATCATTAGCAGCAACTGCTTAAACAATAATTTATTATTAAATGCAAGCGTTTAAGCCTCAAATGAAGCTTTTTTGGTAACCTCATGTAACGTTCTGATTACTTTTTTATGAAGGCTTTTCCCAGAACATTTCACATTTAGTGTTTGTCAGAATCCACGTGTTTTTTTTTTTTCTTACCTTTTTTTGTTGGTTGTACTTTCAATTTGAGCCTCTTGCCGATGTTGCACAACCGCTTGGCTCGTGCATCACAGTGCGCGAAACGCACCCCGCACTTAAGCCGCAATCGGAAGCGGCGGCGGACCTGCAGCACTTTTCGGTCGAACCGGCTGGCTGGCTGCCTGCAGACGCCATAAACAGCTTAAGGTAAGTGAGGGTCTCGCGGACGTAAAATATCACCCTGCCAAAAGGAGAAGGTGCTTCACTGGCACATGCGTAGGTATCACAGGAATAAAATCTCCAGTCTGATTTTGTACACTCACGTATGTGTGCTAAAGCCCCCATTTCCTCAGTCACAATATCATTGCATCTTTAAGATATTTTATATTACCTCCTACATTTTTCTGGTTAATTCGCATAACATTTTTACGGTCCCACATTTTGATGCATAGATCCCGCTGCCTCTACTGAATGCATAGAATAGACAATACTTATAGTTTGTCGTGTGTTAAAACGTTCGTGAATTTAGTAGAAAATGCTTCTACCTTCTGTTGCGTCCTTACCGTAATTGGAAAACATATGGGTGGTGTCTGCCCACACTATCGTGATGTCATACGGAGAGATTAAACCCAGCCCCTATGTTTGGCGTCGTAATCCCGGTACCCTTTCATACAATCAACGCATCTTCTATTGGTCATCATCCACATTATATCTGGAAAAGACAGTATAAAGACGGTTCAATGCATAACTGATTTGTTTCCTTTAAGCAGGAGGACACAAACCAACCCGTACCCCAGTAACTCGTCTGTCTGTTTTTTTTGTTTATTCTGAAATTGTGTTTCCCGTTTAATCCGTAGGTCTTTAGTTTCACGAGTCTGTATTTTAAATGGTATACTAATGTTACTGGTTCACATCCATAGAATGTGTCCTTTTAAATCTGTTACCGTATTATCAGATTACAACCTACGGAAATGGAACAGGTGGCTAAAAATGGGAACGGACGGAAGGTGATATCAACCTTATTATTTTTAGTGAGCCTATCTTAATTTATAAATTTAGAAGTTCGTATTACAGACAATATTATTTTAATATAATCGATCCTTTCAGTACAATGAAAATAAGCTCGTCGGTTTTATTATATATCTTATACAAGCAAGTACCACAAGTATTCGGCGATAATAAGCGTGGCCAAGTCGTTGGAAACTTTTTATTTAGGCTATACCATTAGGTATCCAGAGTATGTCTTGGGATTATGGGTTCTGTATATCAGTTTCAAATCCATAAACCGTTGCATTCGATAACTAAACCAGAAGTTTTGTTATGACTAATTGCTGGTTCAGGCAAATTCACTCTCTCGTAAGGTGGGGGCTATAGCGTGCACAGTCAACAGCAGTGTGGGCGGTCTTTGCCTAAATCATGCCCCGTCGGTATCCATATATGGTTCGTGGCGTCACAATCCGGAGGTTCCATTCGTATAAAGCAGATAGAGCGGAATCCCCTTAGAGGAAATGTGGACACAGACGCACCGGAGAGTGCAGCTCACTCCGTTCTCTAGCCCCATGTAAGCATAGTTGAATACATTTCATTCTCGTTCAGTATTATCAGCTGTGAAGTGGCAATCAATATGAAGGTCAAAACAATAGATTGCCGGCGTCTTAAGAAAATTCTAAGGAAGGAACGTGGAAACTGCCTCATTGTGGATTGCAGACCGTATTTTTCTTTTTCGAATTCAAGTATAAAAGGTTCATTCAACGTTAACTTGAACTCCGTTATCCTTCGGAGGTCCCGGGGTGGCCCGGTACCTCTTCATTTTGTTATCCCGGATGAGAGAGCGCAGTACCAACTTCGAGAGGGTACGATTTCGACGATTGTGGCATTAGATGACAAATCGTCCCACTGGCAGAAACTGAAAAAAGACAGTATAGCACAAATTGTTATAAATACATTGTCACATCTTGCAAGTGGAACAAACATCTGCTTTCTTAAAGGTGAGTAACTGCTGTGGTTTTACCCATTCGTGAGCAATCTTTTGTCTGAACTCGTCGGCTGGTCAAGTACTAACAAGGTTTTATATTCGGAATGAATATTTAAAATTAAAAGTTAAAACTGATGTCTTTGGATTTCCAAATTTTTAAGGTCATATTTGACCGTTTTATATTAGAAAACAGTGGCTGATTTTTTTTCAGTGTCTGAAATGATATTACAGTAGTTCAGGGGTAAGAATGCAAGAAACAATAACATTCAGATAGATTTTTGTGCGTTGTTAACGGTTTCCTGCGGTTTGAAATTTTTTCTTCTGAAATAAAAACAGTGTCATATTGTTTATCACAAAGTAGCATGTTGTTCACGTTGCTGATATTTGGTTGCTACAATCGACCGAGGAATGTTTCATCTGTGGGATGAACTTAAAACGCGCGCTACGTCAAACGGGTGTTGATGACTCAGGCTGTGATCTCACAGATGTCAGCGAGGATCCTGTAGCTATTGTATTTGGTTTCGTTGCGCATTTTTTTGTAACTGATCATTTGTTGAAATATCGATATCAATAAAATGTTGAATCCGATTCAGAAAATCTCTTGTCATTTTAAAGTTAAAATGTGAAGAAATGAATGTCATGACATGACATTATAATAGTTTAAGTACTATAGTACTATAGTTTAAGATGTTTTCTTAAATAAGTTTGCCACACTCCGAATCTCAAGATCCTGTTATGACTATAGAACTTAAAAGACAAAACCGTCTCAACAATGTGTTCTCTGTGTGGGGATAATAAGGGGAAACGGCAAAACAAATCTGGGCATTATCAGCAAAGAGGGGCCACACTGAAAGGCCTTTTTATGCTTTTGTCCGACAGGAGGATATGAGACCTTTCATTCCCAGTACCCTGAACTTTGCACGGAGTTGAAACCCGTCCCACCGGCGGGAACCGAAACCGAAAAAATGGTCGGGATCAACTTGTGTGAGAAGCTCGGCGCCCAGCACAAACCAGATTACGATCAGGTACGGAAAAGGAGAGACGCTCGCGTTTCCTGGCTGCAGCCCGATTTCAATGTGGCCATTTCCCCCTTGGCAATAAATTCCTCCCGCATACATTTTAATTGTCAAATACCGTCACGCATGTGCCTTTAAAAGACATTCGAACTGATCATAGCTGTGTGTGTATATAAATAATAAACGTAATCAAAACTGTGACTATCATAGGGTATAAGAATGTGTTTTCATCTCAGATGGGAGGTCATCAATAAGTACATAATGTTTTTCAGACAGCAGTTATCATAATAAAGAAAAATTAAAGAGGAGCTGTTGGAAGTGTAGCCTATTTAATATAAAGATTAAAGTAAGACAGTGGTTTATTTGATAGCTTGAAACAAGTCTGTATTTTGTGGCACGTTTATCAGTAAAGAGAGACCGGTATTTGTATCAGATGATATGCTTGTGTGTCAGCTAAAACAACACGCTCGGCTGGAATTTGTACAGGAAACAATGTTTACAGGATTATGATTAAGCACTTACTGTCTGGCTTACTGGTTTAACGGCATCCAGGTCACCCTGTAAAATGGCGGAATGAAATCTAGCGATAGTTACGGATGCCAGCTTAGTATAGGGAGAGTGAGACACGGAGGCCTTTTCGTCTGCAAATACTCTGAGTTCACACCTGTCGCATCTTAATTTATTCCAAGACTGAAACGGTGATCTACTTTCATTAAAACGGTAGACTAATCATTTGTCATTACTTAAACGGATTAAAGCGACTGTGCTGCCTTCACACAATTCCATTAATCCTCCCACGATTTCTTGTAAAGGAGTCCCTAACATTCCACATCGTGTAGTCCTCTCAGTGAAACGCGGTGTTCCTCTGACGTATTTCTAAAGGGCGATTGGTATGGAGTACGACGATTGTGACGAGGTCACCCTGTGAAACTCAACAACACATGATAACAGGAGTGACCACTCACAGATCCGGTTTCATAAACATCCATCAGCTGTCAACGTTGCCTTAGGAGATACTATCAGCGATTCCTGACCTTGCAATCTCCCGCATGTTTTTGAAATTAGCCATTAAGAAAGGATTTGTTGTTGGTTGTTGTTCATTTGCATGTCTTTCATTTTATCTGTTTCTGGAATCTAATTTGTACCGCCCTCTCTTCCAGGGCAAGCCCGTAGAGATCCTGCCTTTCCTATACCTTGGCAGTGCCTACCACGCCTCCAGACAAGACTACCTTGATGACCTTCACATCACAGCTTTGCTGAATGTGTCCCGAAGAGACACGGAGCAGTCCAAGGGCCACTGCAATTACAAATGGATTCCAGTGGAGGACAATCACACAGCAGACATCCACTCTCATTTCCAGGAAGCCATTGACTTCATTGGTAAGCACTGTTTTCCTCTTGGGCTTTTGTTCTTTCAGTGTACGAGGCAATGTTATATGATATGAGATATGGAGATCCATACAATGAAATACCAGCGGCAGGGTTGATGGACATCACTCATTCATAAAGCTCCATCTCTGTGATTATTATCCATTATAGGTTACAAATAACCTTTTATTTTTTTGCAATTTTATCTCTGAGAATGAAAGCATAGACATTGTCGTTTTGCCTTTAATTAATAGCAATTCATCTAAGAATTTAGGCAGCATATATTTTTTCTCCCTACTCCGATTTTAAACCACATTATAAAGTTCACTGGCATTTCCCAAACATCTGAGAGACATCCCAGCTGCTGTGCAGATAGTATAACTGTCTTTAAAAACCGCAGAGGGCTTAAATAAGAATTTCTGTTATTGCTGCTGTGAATGAAGCAGGCAGGGCTGCCGTTCTCATTTATCTCGCAGTGCCTTTTCCCACGTCCTGCAGGGGATTAAGCTACTGTTGTTATGGGGGCTGCTCTTGATTTCTTTGAAGAAGGTACTTAATGAAGGTGTCCTCTTCCTTAACCCTTTGTACTTCGTGGCTGGGTGTGACCGCCACGTTGCTAAATTGGGTTTCTGCTGAAGACGGGTGTTGGCTAAGGTTGTTTATCTCGGGCAGGTGTACTTTTGGCTTGGAGGCAAGTAGGGAAAGGACCTGAATAGGGGAAACAAAAAGAACTAGGTAACAGTAATAGCCGAACAAAGACGGGAACTGAACTATTTACTGACCTACTGTGTGTGTCTGTCAGTGGGGGTGGTGGGGGGGGGGGAGAGAAAATGACCTGAGGTAATCTTCTTCCTGATGCGGAACATTGTTGCACTATTGTCGACTTTAGTCCACAGCTAGTGAATTTGCTGCTTGATCTTTCAAACCCTTTAAGTAGGCACAGAGATGTGGGCAAATTGCACAGTACACAATAGGTGGGTCTTTAAACAGGCATTTTGCCTCCACCATTGGATGGTTCTGGCTTCTGTTATGTGGTTACGGGGATCTGAATACTAATGGCTATTCAGCTGGGTCCTTGATGTATTGTTGATGTAAGAATAAATCAGTGATTGAAGGGAGGCAGAGAAAAAAGGCCCTCTGAGTAATGGGCGGTGATAAATTGCAGCGCTTCGTGTGCAGCGAGCCAGTGAGTCAGGAGTCACGTGGGTAGCCACAGGTGGATATGGGCAGAAGCTGCATGATTGCGGAAAGTTTCACCAAATGACAGGTACTCTCCAGGTTGGAGGAGCTGCCAACTAAGAAGCCAGCCAGCATCATACTCATTCCGTCATGATGGTCTCCAGCATCCACCCCTCAGCTGAATTTCAATATTTGAATCTGTTACCCATAATGCACCGTTGACCTGATTTGACAACTGAAACTTGATATGAATCTGAGATGTGAAAATGGCATCCTGTTAACATTATGCAAGTTTAATTTATCAGTTTTTTTTGTTTTTTTTTTGTCTTCCAGACTGCGTAAAGCAAACAGGAGGAAAAGTCCTTGTCCATTGTGAAGCTGGGATCTCCAGGTCACCCACCATATGCATGGCATACATCATGAAGACCAAGAGGCTGCACCTGGAGGAGGCGTTTGACTTCATCAAGCAACGGCGAGCGCTCATCTCCCCCAACTTTGGCTTCATGGGCCAGCTGCTCCAGTTCGAGTCTGAAGTGTTTTCCACTGCGTCTCCAACCTCTGCTGCCCCCTGCAGTCAAGAAACTGTCTCATTCTTATCAAAGGACTTCACCTTTAACAAAAACTATGAACCCTCTGTGTTTACGCTCCCCGGGGGCTTCCTGGCACCTATACCCCTCCAAACACCAGTTCACCAATTTAAGTTGAGTCCAATAACTGCACTTCCTTAATGTTGCTGCTTGGCCTCCTACTTGTCTCCGAATACTTGAAAAACAAAAATGTTCAGCCATTGTACAAGTTATTGAAATGATGAAGCTGGTTTGCTTGAAAGAGAGAAAAAATGACAAAACATATTTTGAAAGGACTGAGGACAAGGCAAATCTGGTGGTTCTTGAAATCCATACACACTGATGCTGTTGCCTGTGATGTATGTGTAGTAAACAGGATTATATAATTATAGCAATAGCTGCCTTACCTTGAAGTTCCTATTACCTATTCACAGAGTGTGGAAAGGATTTTTTAATTTATTCTTATTCTTGTTTTTTACAATTTCTGTGAAAAGGTTAATAAAACATTCTTGCACAATGTGACAAAGGCTTTGTTTACTTTTTCACTACAGGAACACTATACATTAACCATACACAAACGTAAATAATTTAAATTGGTTACATGTACATGAGATTTGATACTGAATGCATCTTAGACCATCGGATTAAAAAAATAATGGTATGACGTTATATTAAGAAAAATGACGACATAATAAGAAAAAGTACTTATTTCCTAAAATGTTACGTAAACTACGCCATAAAGTAAACTAATCAAATGAAATAATGTCAATTACGTTTTCAGGATGAACAATCGGGTCTGCAGTCCTATTTGTGACATGCAATTGATAAGCAGGAAGAATACAGGAAACGGGCCGTTGTCACTGAGGATTAATTGGAGGGAAATTAATAATTCTGAGCTAACGGGTAGCCAATGTAGTGATGAAAACTGTTGTAGGCAAAGGGTGCGGCGCAAAAGCCCTAATCGGCCTCACTGGTGATAAATATTTGGAGGTGGTTCACAGAGATTCCCACGCCGGCAGCGTTCCTTCCCCACTACGCACAGGCGGTGTCTCCATCATCTTCATCGAGAACATTGAGTCATGCACTGGCGCCTCACGCCCCTAGGGCTGGGAGCGCGCAGCCGTAATCGCACGTATTGTTAGTTTAGATGGAACTTCATTGATCCCAGAGGAAGATCATTGTACACAGACCTACATTTAAAGAAAGGCTGCCAAGACGGTACAATCAAATAAATGCAAAGTCCAAACAAATATAAAAAGTACACTCAGAACTCTTCATTGTCAGCATGTGAACATACCGCAGTTGGTAGTGGTTCGGTGCAAACAGTGAAACCAGAGACGACTACAGTTAACGGGACAGTGCAAATATGAATGAAGAACAACTGTCCACTACAAACATCACGGAATACAATGGGGTTAAAAAAGAGCACAAAGAATGCTGAAAAATTGAATTTTACGGAATATGAATGAAATAAATACTATGAAAACGTTCAAATAATAAATTATGTAGTAGTATATGTACAATTAGAGGACAGACCGAACTTTTACTATAGCAGAGATTAGATGCTATATGGCGGGGGTGGGGAGCGGCGCGCCGGGAGGAGGCGTCGGAGTGCCGGATAGCGCAGGTTGGAAGGATTCCCGGCAGCGCTTTTTAGCTCAGCGGCTGAATGAGCCGGTGGGTAAAAGTGCTCCAGGAAAGCGCCCTGCGAAGCGCATGGGCAGAACTGTCCGTAACGTGCTCCAATTTTACCAAATACCTTAACATTAGATAGAAGTAGTACATTCTTTCATTTAATTCTTTAAAAAGTCAACGAATTAAGCCACCAAAAGGAAATTAACGTTTTATTGTATTGGATGGAATTTTATGTATTTTTGTTCTCTTAAGATACACCACAACACTAATCGTATATCTCAACCTACTTCAAATTTACTGGCGGTCGATATCTCATACTATACTGCTTTCGCGCCTAAGGTCTTATCCTTGGTGGGTACCAGGTGAAGAACTAGGGGTGACTGTAGAGTTAAAAAAATATATTTTAGAATTCCCCATAATATCACCGCAATATATTAGTGTGTCTAGATTTCTTGAAATAAAACTACAGTGAAATTATTCAGAGAAAGGAATGTTCGTCCACGCAACTATAAATATACAAAGAGGTTTAGATGTAGTTTCCCCCCTTTTTGTCCCTTGCACGGTTCACTCCTTAGCCCCGCCCCCGTCGCCATTTTACTTGTTATCTGTTTTGTGTAGGCAATCTGAACAATTAGTAGTTTTGGGGTTTTCAAATTTCAATTTGATATAATTAAACTTTTTTGAAGCAGCCCTTCCTTTTGTGGAGGAGGAGGCGGGCGTGTTCCGTTTTGTGGGAGATTTTTCTGAGGGAAAATAGTGCAGACCCAGCCATGTACATTAAACAGGTAAGCTAGCTAAGCTAACTTTTGCTAGTTAGCTACTAGTCAAATTCGACGTTCTGCTTAAAACTACGATATTGCGTTAAATTGCACGACGAAGAATTACGTGCAGCTAAATCTCTTGCAGAGACAATGCATAACAGTATTTAGACGTCGCAAGAACAAAAGTTGCTAATTGCTATTTCGCGTTAGCCCAGATCGTAGCAATGTGACGTGAGCTGAGCGCTTGAATAAGCGTCCGGCCAGGTATCCAGGAGCTGCTAAGTTATTACCACATTAACGCCTTAGTCTTTTAAAATTGACCATAATTGGCAAATAAACCTTACGACGTAGGTATTTCTTGGCAGTCCTGCTCCATTTCCACAGTGGTAACTGATTATGCGAATGAACGGCCATTCTGATAGCTGTTCGTTAATCCTGCACTGTGACATCTTTGAGCGAGTTTCTATGCTTTACAAGTTACAACTGCAAAGTGCGTAACGCGAACTTGTGATATAGTTCTGGTGAAATTTAAATTAATTTCTTTTTTGTGATAAGATGACTGGCGATTTTTTAATTGGTAAATAAGGTAAAAAATGTTACTGTCAGAAAATGTTTCACCTGCTTTGTGCAACAAAGTACATATATTAATCTATCTGTTGCCGTTAAAATATAATAGCACCACTAATTAATACTGCCTAAAAATAAAAAATGTTTATATACTTAATTTTAGTTTATGAAATAGATGTCTAACTTCTCTGAATTACTTCTGTCTTTTAGGTCATTATTCAAGGATTTCGAAGTTACAGGGATCAAACTGTTGTCGATCCATTTAGCCCGAAGCACAATGTCATTGGTGAGTTTATATAATGTCTTATTTGGGGTCCCTCAACCTCATTGGGCTGTGAATTTCATTGTCTGCCATCTTTTTGTTCTTGTTTGTAGTGGGGCGAAATGGATCTGGGAAAAGTAACTTTTTCTATGGTAAGTAATCCTTATCTGGTTTACAAAGTTCTGCTGTGAAGGACTCCGGTACTATCATCTGGGTTGCCAGTTTTGGATAAGGCTGGATAAAAGGTGTTATGTGTGTAGGTCAATCACTAGTGACAATGTGCAAGTGATATAAGTTTTTCTTTTTGGCCCATAAGTATGAATAGTAAACTGGATATTTAACTGGGCAGTTGAAAATGGTATAATACAGTTATCATGTGTGTAATGAATTACTGCTCGACTAACACCCTGTGTCCCATACAGCCATCCAGTTTGTGCTCAGTGACGAGTTCAGCCACCTTCGTCCTGAGCAGAGGCTTGCTCTGCTGCACGTGAGTGCTGTGCATTCTTTGTTTTCCATTTATTTACTCACTCACCTGCACTCCCTCGTGTTCAATTCACCACATGCTCTCCCTGTTTCAGGAAGGGACTGGCCCTCGTGTCATCTCTGCTTTCGTGGAAATCATATTTGACAACTCGGACAACAGGTTACCGGTAAGCCCTCCAACGTAAATTCAAAGTGGCGCTAATACGAATTTAATTATTTGGTGCCTGTGTTTGGAAAGTCATTAATTCAGATCTCACGGCCAGCAGAGTAATCCTTACACTGCTGTGCCCTTGAGCAAAGCCCTTACCCCAGTTGTTCCTGGGACACTGGATGCTAGCTGACCCTGTACTCTGAGCCCAAGCCTTGTGCTAACCTGTATTTATTAATATTTTTATATGATACATGAATATCCTTTTGTGTCTCTTGGAGCGCAAGGTATAGTGTGTGAAAATTACCCACTTTTCCTGTGGGAATAAATTAAGTGTCTCTATTCTATTCTCCCTGCTATTACTTTGAATGATTTATGTTTTCCCATATGTCAAGTAGAGATCTGCATTGTTTACAGAGTGTCTTAGTTGAATTGTCAAGCGCTGCATTTCCTTGTAGATCGACAAAGAAGAAGTGTCACTGCGTCGTGTAATTGGAGCCAAAAAGGACCAGTACTTCCTGGATAAGAAAATGGTGACGTGAGTATTGCTTTCTCCGTGTAGAGGCATTTTGTTGATGACCATACAAAATTGCCTTGACCTACTTGTAATGTCAAACCGTGAGAGCATAATTCAGATGTAAACTTCAGATGACGTCAGTGCCTCGGAGCCAAAAAAAAGTCACAATAAAGTAGGAGCACAATGACATACCCAAGCAAGATTATTTTTGGTGTGGGAAAAAGTACCAAAGAGATTGGAATTGTCTGTGTTCCAGGAAAAATGATGTCATGAATCTCTTGGAAAGTGCCGGCTTTTCCCGCAGTAATCCGTATTACATCGTGAAACAAGGAAAGGTAACGGACATGATTTTTTTTTTCTTATTGTTATGCTGGCACGTCAGTGTTTATGCATGTGCACCTTTATTTGGTTTGCATTTTGTTTAACAGACATAACCAAGTTAATTTCTAAAAGCAGCAATAATCTTTTGGCGGCCTTCTCAGAAGTCCATGAGTTTCACGCATATTCTGCTGCAGTCAGGAAAACACTTGTTATTGACTTCAGATCAACCAAATGGCAACAGCCCCAGACTCTCAGCGTCTGAAGCTGCTGCGGGAGGTAGCAGGGACCCGAGTGTATGATGAACGCAAAGAGGAGAGCATCTCCCTCATGAAGGAGACAGGTAAACCTGTACTGATGGTGCATGACGACAGAGGGCAAAGAGGCTGAAACTGTGGGCCATTAGAGCTGTTCATCTTTGTACCTGATTAATGGTCAAGATTAATAACCAGAGATGGGGAAGACAAGTCATCTTCGTTCTGTTTAATTCTACCAAACTCTGCTTCAGTGCATCTCGACTGTGCATTGTAATTATTTTTGGTATTTAACCATCAGAGGGGAAGAGGGAAAAAATCAACGAGCTGCTGAAGTATATCGAGGAGCGTCTGCATACTCTGGAGGATGAGAAGGAGGAGCTGGCTCAGTACCAGAAATGGGACAAGATGCGGAGGGCCCTGGAGTACACCATCTATAACCAGGAGCTGAACGAGACTCGCGCCAAGCTGGACGAGGTGCGCCTGGCAGACGCAGGGCATCGGCACGACACCGGCGATTTCTCTTCCCGTTCATTTGGTCGCTAACCGCTTGCGTCGTTTCTGCCGGTGTTGTGTTGGTTCTTTGTGTCGTCCAGCTGTCCACCAAGAGGGAGACCTGTGGGGACAAATCGAGGCAGCTGCGTGATGCCCAGCAGGATGCTCGGGACAAAGTGGAGGTAAAGGACCGGCACGGAAGAGGTCAGGGGATTCACCAGTAACGTCTTAAAGGCGTTCGTTCAAGCGTGTCAGAATCTTACGCCCTCCCTCCCCGGCTGAAGCTTTTTCATGTGATTTGGACTGATATGAACGGAGGGGGAGGGGGCGGGGGGCGGGGCCCGGGCCCATCTTTGGGATTCCAAAAAGCTGCATGATGTTTCTGCATTTCCTGCTGAT